GGGGTTGTAGTATAACAGCTTTCTTTATCAGTGCCACGTTTATGAGCGCATAAATTCAGTTTATCTTTATGAATATTCAGCACCGCTCAGCGACGCTGAAGACTAAGTAAGAAATCAAATTAGTCTATTTGGTTCTCTATGAATTAATTTAAAAAAAAATTAACTAGTTAATGTTTTGACATTTAACGATATCATTAAAAAAATCGACGTTTAAAAATACTACATTTTATTTCAAAAGTGCTATCCAAAATTAAAATAATTGCGGACTTTGTCTATGGTTCATAAAGATTAAAACAAATATTTTAAATTGAATGATAGTTACTGTTATTACATAAAGTTATAGATAAGTTGCATTTAAACACGTTATAGAATATTTATTATGAATTTTAATTCAACTACAACTGACACCGAGGTTAAAGTTTCGCAATTTTCCACAAAAGGGACCCTAAAACTATAGTTGTTAGTGTCGTGGACATTTCTTTTTATTTATGCTAATAATTTCGAGTTTTATTTAATTCAGACTCGACGTTGGATATTCCTCGCGTTTTTAAATGAATTTGTTTTATGCAAATATTATCTTCTTAATAAAATTCACGAAATCTCTTAACAAAGCATTTTTTTTTGAGGTTATTTCTTTGCTAGATTAACCTCAAGTTTCATTTGTTTAGTAGCGATGTATTAACTTTTACGAATTATGACTATATTTATATAACCTACATTTAAAAAAATGTCATTTCAACATCCACGCGTATAATGTCCTCGTTCATAACAAACTCATGTATTTGGTAGCGTTTTATAACTTGTACTAGATTGTGCAAATGTTATATTTTGAATAGTAAAAAAATCACAATTTATGCATATTGTTTCAATAACTTTTATTTAGTTCGTTGAATTTGTTTATTCAACATATCATTATTTGTAAATAACTAAAGATGCAGTTTAAAATACTGTATTCAAATCTTAATTAGCTAAATGATTTTGAAGATCTAATCCAAAATCGAAAACCATAAAAGTTAGTATGAAATAATCGAGGCATATTAACACTGCCCATTCGATGTCGGAGTAATTCCTGGTTGTGGGTGATGAATGGCGCCCCGGCCGCCCCCGGCTGCCCCTGGCCCGACCTAAGCCCATATCTCACCCTCAAGTAACCTCGTACAATGTTTTATTACTTGATGAAACACGCTGTCCCGTCCTTAGACTGTTCGCCTTGAAACTACAGATTTTTAGGTTACTATTTTTTTTTTCTCAACATCATTGTTGTGTTCATACATAGATCATAGAATTAGTATTACATAAAATGAAATGTAATTATTGGATAGAGTAATATTTCTTTATAAGCTAAATGTCGTAATAAATTCTAAGCTGCAAGTAATTTGTAGAGTCTTCGTTTTATTTTCTTTAAGTTGCATGATTTTTGTTTTGCTATAACATTTGTTCTAGGCGTTTAAAATTCCAACCGGTTCCAACATGTGGTTTATAATTTAAAATTCCTTTTAATTTAATTAGACCACTTCATGTCAAAAATATTATTAAATTTATGAATTGCTTGGAAAGATGAAAAGTTAGTGTAATAAGGGTGTTAGAACATAGAACTTCAGTGTAAAATTAGAATCGTAATTGAGACACAATGGTAAATTGTCGTGTTTGAACGACAAAATGTCACGCGGCGTCTAGTGGGCGACGTCCGTCTGTCTATCATTACTTATTGATTTTATGATTACTGGCGACTAATGCACGAAACTGTTACAACTGTCTACAACTTTGTTCTTTAATCACGCGATTATACTTGTAAGAAAGTTTTTCAAAGTCCGAATAGGTAATCATGTTTTGTAAACTTTTGTTCTGTTTTAAAGTCGTGCATGTTTGTGTCGGTGTTTTCATGAATAAACAATTACTTCTTAGTATTAAAGAAAAAAGAATAAAAATAATAAATATAATAAATAATAAATAATCAAATATAGTCATTTTTTATATATTTAAAAACAAAAATATCAAGGCATGTCCAGGGGTTAGTACTAGGCTGACATAAGTATATAGTAGTCATAATGTGCTAATTGCGGGCTGTACTGCGAAGGGCCACGTGTCGTTTCCTCGTTCTAGAAAGTTCTTTAATTGTCCTTTAATTAAGTACGCCGCTGTAGCGCGCTGAAATATTCAGAGGCCGGGAATTAATTCCCTCGTTATGTTTTGAATAATAAATTTTATTGCAACTTCGTGCTGTCGTCAATACGCTTGTTTTGAAGTTTGTAATAACACATATTATAGCTTAGCTCAAATTAAAATATGCCATATGTCTTTATCGAATGAGTAATTATTTGTTTATTATTTAGATATTGAAGTAATTTATCGTGAAATGCTTCTTCTTTATTTAAAGCAAATAAAAAGTGTACGAACAGAAGCTATATTATTCATCGTTAATAATTGCAGCTATTAACATTGTCCCAAAACATGAATAGGTTATTAATAAACGTAT